TTTTTTTTTGGTACTGGGGATGAACTCTGGTCCTTGCACTTTCGAGGCAGGCAGAGGCAGGTGGCAGAACCACTGAGCTAAATCCCCAGCCCTAAAACCACAAATTCAAACCCAGCCTGTACAATTTAGGAAGACCTTTCTCAAAAGTGGGCAGGGATATAGCTCAGTGCAAAGGCTTTGGGTTCACTCCCCAGTACCATCAAAAACACAAAACGGGGGCCAGGGATTTAGCTCAGGGGTACCTCACCTGCCTCACAATCACAAGGTCCTGAGTTGGATCCATCCCCGGTACCAAAAAAATAAAAAATAAAAAAATAATAAATCGGCAGCTGGGCATGATGGCACATGCCTGTTATCCCAGCAAATGGGAGGCTGAGACAGTACTGACCAGAGTTCAAGGCCAGCCTGAACTGCATAGCAAGACCCTGTCTCAAAAGAAAACACACACACACAAACACACACACACAAATAAAATAATGGGAAAACCAATTCTGCTATTTGCTGAATTAAATTAAAACCCACTTCATGATTACTAATTACTGTTCCTTGGGGGACAACGTACCCAATTAAAACAACAGTCTAAGAAGGTCTTACCAAAATGTTTAATAGACACTGGCAAATGGGAAGAAAATGTTCAAATGAGAAGGGGAGCAAGGGAAGGGGGAGGGGAAAAGGAAGGGACAAGAAAAAAATTGAAGGAAAAAAAATGGAAGCAAAGCTTCTGTAAATAAGGTGAAGAAGGGTTGGAAGGGAGGAGGGGAATGGGGAAAAAAGCAGCCAGATATATCATGTATAGGTACAAATTCCCTATTATGAATGTTATCAATAGGTATATCTAAAATGTACTAATAAAAATAAATAAATAAGGTCCTGGCTCTTCTAACACCACCACTATCAGCAGCTACTTGACCTCTCTACATCTATTTCCTTTTGGAAGGATTAAATGAGATAACATAGGTGGAGTACTTAAAAGTGACTGGCATAGGTCGGTCCTCAGTAAACAATACTCCATATAAATGGAAAACCTCTCTGGAAAGACAATTGGATTCTTTTGGTTTGGTTTCGTTTTTTGTGACAGGGTCTCACTAGTTCAGGCTGGCCTTGAACTTACTATGTAGCACTGGAGACCCTCCAGCCTCTGCCTCCCAAGTGCTGGGATTACAGGCAGGCACCACCACGCCCAGCAAGACACAAAAAAGGGGGGGGGGCTGTTTTTTTGAGACCTTGAAGTCACTGTTAGCCCAGGTGGGCCTCAAACTCGAGGAGACCCTTCTGACTCAGCCTCAGTGCTGGGATTACAGGTGTGCACACAATTGTCACCTGCAAGACACAATTTTTTTTTTTTTGGCATGGGGATGGAACTCAGGACCTTGTACTTTCGAGGCAGGAGAGATGCCACTGAGCTAAATCCCCAGCCCATCAAAAATATTTCCTTTAAACTGATCTCTTGTGCTAAGGAATTTCTCAGTACTTAATGCATTGTAAAGGTTGAACTGTCACTACTGAATTCACAAAGAAGTATCATAATCTAATAATACCACAAATACACAAGCTACAGTTTCTGATTTCATGACCCTATTAGATGTTCTTACTTGCTTCATAATAACCATAAAGGTCTTCACTGAAACACCTTAACACAGTGGCTTTACTGACACCTGGAATGATTTTCTCTCCCGGGGACAATTTGGCACTAGACATCTTTGTCACAACTATAAGGTATGCACTACTGGGTGGAATGGGTAGAGGCCAGGAATGCTGATAGACAATCTACAATGTACAGTCCAGGACCCCCTATCAATAATCATCCCAAAATACCATTGGTAACAGCTGAGAAACTGCAACCCAAGGAACCACTTCATTCCACTGTGAAAGTAAATACAATACATTCTTCACCACAGTGACGGAGGAAAGAACACACCTGATAAATTCTCCCAAGTAATGAATTAAAATCCTTAGCACTGGCAGACTAGGACCCCAATAAATGGCGCCATTGTTGTTGAAAACTTTTAGAATCGAAGCAGCTAAAATGGCTTGTGTTATCTACTCAATTCAATACCCTTTAAGATTTTAAAACATTTTCAAATCTAACAAAAGTTCACTCTGATTTGAAGAGATACATTTTACCATTCTTTCTTGTTTTCAAATTATATTTGAAGAATCACAAAGCTCAAACAATATACTACTATAGTAAAACAAGGTCTTTAAGCAGTTACTCGGTCTTTCAAAATACTACTTGATATTTCTGAATTTCAATTAACAAGCTGCCTTGGCTTTTTCTATGCCATACAGGTTGAACAATTAAAAGCTGTAAAATTTTTAAGAAAGTGGGCCTGGTATTTAGCTCAGTGGTGCTGCACCTGCCTTGCAAGCACAAAGACCTGAATTTGATCCCCAGTACCAAGAAAAAAAAATTTAAGAAAGTATTAAGAACAATAAAATGGAGTACTACTCAGCCATAAAAAATGAGAAATTAGGGCCAGGGATTTAGCTCAGTGGTTTCCTCCGCCTGCTGCACAAGGACAAGGACCCAAGTTTGATCCCCGGTACCAAAAAAAAAAAAAGAGAAATTAGAGACATTTATAGTTAAATGGATGCACACTGAAGCAATACTCTTAAATGAAATAAATAGGACACACATGTGTAAATACCAAATAGTTTCTCTAGTGTGAGAAACTGAAAGTGTAAACAAGGACTAAAAAGTATAATAGATAATGTGAAATAGGAAGAAAAGGGGGGAAGGGGAAGTGGGAGAGGTAGAGGAAAGGGAAGAAGGGAATGGAATTAATATGAGAAAATGAAAAGGGCCAGGAATTTAGCTCAGTGGTTCCGGCTCCTGCCTCGAAAGCACAAGGTCCTGAGTTCGATCCCCAGTACCAAAAGAAAAGAGAAGAAAATGAAAAAGTGGAAACAAAGTCTTTGTAACTAGGGAGGGATGAAGGGGTTGAAGGAAAGGCAGGGGAATGGGGAAAAATGAGAACCAAGAGAGATTATGTAAAGGTGCAAATTTCCAATGATGAATGTCAATATACTGCATACCTAAAATGTAACAATAAAATAAAATTTTTTTAAAAAACTGAAAAAAAAAAAGTATTAAGAACAGTTCCATCATCTCTATTCAACAAAGCAAGAACATATTCTCCTAAGTAACTTTAAAATGAGGCTTAAAAAATATACAAATTACTGTAATCCCAGCACTCGGGAGGCTGAATCAGGAGGATCCCTGTGATTTCGAGGCCAGCCTGAACTACGAAGTGAGAACCTGTCTCAAAAAACAAAAACAAGGGTTGGGGATTTAGCTCAGTGGTTCCACTGCCTGCCTCACAAGCGCAAAGACCTGAGTTTGATCCCCGGTACCAAAATAATAATAATAATAATGTCAACCATTAATAAAGAGAAGTGCTTTATCAATGTTTGGAATATTGTCACAACCTAGTTTTCTCTAAAATCTAGAGCAGGCTCACAAATAGGAAAGTTTTGACATACTGGTACAACTAACCATCATTAGTCATATTTTAGTTTCTTAGTAACTGTGCAACTTCTTTTGCACCTTTTAAAATGTTTATCTTTTCTATTATGTAAGACTGTTTTAATACTGATTTTGTTCTTTGAATTCTATTTAAAAGTTCACCACATAATAAAAACTTACTAAAGAATTCTTAGGGAGACAAAATGAGATCTTAATTTCTTTCTCAAAAAAGAAAAAGAGACAGAAAAAGGGTGTTTGCAAATATAAGACCCAATAAAGTTGTTATTTTTCCACTGCTTTTCTCACATATTATTCCTGGTAGGTAGAGTATCAGTAGAACTTCTCCATTTACTTCAAGTCACTCCCCTTGACCATCCAGAACTTTTAACGCTCGTCCAAAGCTGTTTGCTCACGGTCTAATAATAAACCTAATTATACAATCAGTAACACCCCCCGACAATCTTTTCCTTAAGAAGCCACAAAGGTGATTTAACTAATACCTCACACATACTCAAATCTCTTTCAAAGATTTTTTTTTCATTCCAGCCTCCGACTTCAGCCGAGGAACAGAGGCTGTTGGCGCACGGTAGGGAGGGGAAAGATCGCCAGAACCGAGAATGACACACTCTGGGCGTTGGACAGCAGGGGTAACTGCTGGTTCATCTCTCTTTAAATCTGGCAGCACGTGGGGCGGCATTGTGAAGCCACCAACCCGCCTCCCCCCTTCCACTCCGCACACGTACGCCTCCAACGCGCATGCTCCGCTCACACAGTCCTAGCAGAGTAGGAGCCAACCCCCTAAAAAGTCAACCTGGAAGCCGCAAACGGCCTGAGGCCAGGACAGTGGGGGAGGGGGACGCAGGCTGCTCAGAGAAGCCACACCAGGCCGCCGCCCCGAGCCGGGTGTGCGGGCGCAGCGCCGAGGGTCTGCGGGCCTGCGCGGGAGCCGGAGTGGCCGCGAGCACAAAGCCCGAGCCGGCCAGAGAGCGCTCTCCCCAGTGCCCGCTCCTACCCTCCCCCAGCCGGGCGGCGCAGCCGGAGCCCGTGCCAGGCGGAGGCAGTCGAGGAGGCGTCCCCACACCCCGCCGGGCTCCGGACCCCGCGCCCCCGCGCCCAGGCCGCCCTGCCGCCTCTTTTGTTGTCGGCCGCAACTCCGCGGACCCGACACTGCCCGGGGAGAAGTTTTGCGCGCCTCCTCTACTCGACCTGGGCCCAACTCCCCTCGCCCGCTCGGCCCCCGCTGCCTGCCGCGGCCAGGACCCCCGAGCCGGCCACTCGCAGCTGCGCAGGGCCCAAATGCTCCAGCTGCCCCGGGGGTCCGGCGGCCTCCGCCGCACCTGAGCCCGGACCCGCCCCTCCGAGAGGATCGGCCGGCCCGGGACCGCGGCCCCTCCCCCGCAACGCCCCACCGCGGAGTGGGGGAGGGGGAGGCCTCCCCTCCGGGCGCCAGGCCCCGTCCAGGGCCGAGGCTGGGTCGCGCCCCCTGTGCCCTCCGGGAGGTGGGCCACAGTGCGGGGCCGGCCGAGACCCAAGCCACCGGCTCCCCGCCCTCGCAGGCCCGGTCCCCCTCGGCGCCGAAGGGAGGAAGCAGCGGGCACGGCTGTCCGCGCCCGCGACCCGGCGCCCCGCCGCCCGCCCGCTCACCTGCCAGCTGTCTTCGCAGGAGCAGCGCCGACTGCAGCTCCGTCATCCTCCCCGCCAAGGGCCCGGGCTGGCGCCGGGGCTTCTGAAGGTCTGGGACAGGCTCCGGGGGCGGCTGGAGCTGGGTGTGCTGAGGAACCCGGGACCCCGACCGGAGCGCCGAAGCCGAAGGAGATCGGGCTGGGACAGCGGGAGCAACGTTTCGCTGCCGGTGCGAGTCCGCTCGGTTCGGCTTTTCTCACAGCGCCTCACGCCCGGAAGGGGAGGGTACCCCGGCCGACGCGGCGCGCGCTGTGACTTCGCTCGCTCGCTCGCTCGCTCGCTTCCCTCCTTCAACCCGCCAGTCGGCCCCACCGATGCCTTCCACTGCCACTGCCTCTCTGCGCGCAGGGCCTCTCCGCGCAAGCGCGCTGAGCTTGCCTAATTCAGAAGCGTCCGGCCTGCTAGCCCGACCCTCAGCCTCTCTGCTCCACCTCCGGCAGCGGAGCTCCGCCCCCTCCGCGCTATTGCCGGGGCTGCCGCCATCTTTGGAAGGTCCACGCCCGGCTGGCTGCAGAAGCGACTACGTTCTGGTAGACGCCCCGCCGGCGCCATGACAAAGAGGTCGCGGAGGGTCAGGTTGCCGCCTCCTGCCAGAAGCAGGTGGTCTGAGAGTAACAGGGCAGAAAGAAGTGTAGCTGTCTAGTTGCTGGCAAGTATCCAGCAGCCATCTAACGCTACACACATGGTGTGCGAACTGGTCATTGTTAGAAAGCTGAACTTAATACTGGTATGCCCAATTTTAAGCAATCACCAAAATAGAGAATATATGCTCCTAATAAACTTTTCGTAAAGAATCCCCAAAAGGATCCTTGAAGTAAACAAAATATTTCGCATCTGTTAGTGTGAAACATTTAAAGAAATCTCTAATACTGTACTCCCCATGAGTAAGGTGAATTGCGATTAGCAAAATCTAGCATATATAATTCAAGCAGTCGTTCAGAAAGGCATCTACATGTAAAGCCAACATCTGAAATGAAAACTGGAAAAATCTACTTACGTTTTTGGTTTTTGTGACAGGGTCTCACTATATAGCTGAGGCTGTCCTTAAATTCACTATGTAGCCCAGGCTGGCCTCCAACTCTTAGTGATCCTCCTGCCTCCTTAGTGCTGAGATCAAAGGCGTGCGCCACCACGCCAAGCTTTAAGGAAAAAATCTACTTTATCCCACTCTATGGGTCATTCTTGTAGTTTTGTGCCTTATCAATAATACAGTCTCAGGGAAAGAAAAAATTATGAGAAAAGAAAAAAAATGGAAATGATGTCTATGTAAATAGGAAAGGGTGGAGGGGGTGAAGAACACACAGGTAATGGGGAAAAAATAAGAATCAAGATACATCATCTACAGGTACAAACACCCAATGATAAATGTAAACGTATACCTAAAATGTACCAATAAACGAACTTAAGAATTTTTTTTAAAAATACAGTCTCAATAAAGACATGGAACAGAGGAAAGACTTAACACTTCAAATTTTTCTATTCCTTCAACAAATGTTTGTTAAACTTGTAGTAACTTTATCCCTGGACTATAGAAGACACAAACAGTGTGTAGAAGACAGGTCTGTTCCTATTTACAAAGGAAGAGCCTACAGTTTCTGGGAGCTCCAGGTAACGTAAACATGAGAAGTATGTTCCAAAATAGCTTTTTTGATATATTTATTATAGGGTCAGGGATTTAGCTCAGTGGTGTGGCTGCCTGCCTTGCAACTGCAGGGTCCGAAGTTCAGTCCCAGGTACCCCCCCCCGGCAAAAAAAAAAAAAATATATATATATATATATATATATATATATACACATTATAAAAATTACTGGGCCTGGGCCAGGAATTTAGCTCAGTGTTGCCGCCGACTCCCCCATAAGTGCAAGGAGCCAAGTTTGATCCCTGGTAACAAAAAAAATTACTGAACTAGCTGGGCGTGGTGGTGCACACCTGTAATCCCAGCACTCACGAGCCAGAGGCAAGAGGATGGCCTCGAGTTCGAGGACAGCCTAGGCTATACAGTGAGTTCAGGGCCCCCCTGAACTACAAAGAGAGATTCTGTCTCAAAAAAAAAAAAATTCCCATTAATCTCCCTCAAAACACAGACCCTAGCTTCAAAAACATCTATTCATTGTTCTTGTCTCTGTATTTTTTACTTATTTATTTATTTTTGAGACAGGGCTTGCAATGTAGTTCAGGCTGGCCTTGAACTCAAGGAGATTCTCTTGCCTCAGCATCTGGAGTCCTGGGATTGCAAGTGTGCACCCCCACACCCAACCTTTTTTTGTTTTAGACAGAATCTTGCTATGGAGTCCAGGCTGGCCTCAAACTCTCAGTGATGCTCCTGCCTCAGTGCTGGATTACAGTTGTCCACAGAGATATCAAATTAGTATATGCATAGATAAGACTGACATGCACAAAACAGGCTACAGCTATAGATCTAAAACTGGAGAGGTCAGCATTAGGTTTCCTTTCAGGCTGCTGAGATTTATTTTTAAAGCCCTAAAAATGAGCCATGAAGACATAGTCAGTTGGAGGTCAGGTAGAGGAGAAGGAGCCAGCAATGGAGCCTGAAAGAGAATGGAAAAAGAGAAGACCCAATGTGCAGTGTCTCGAAAGCCAAGCTAGGAAAATATTCCCAGGAGGCCAGAATGGTGGATTGCCACATGCTGCCGCGAGGCAGAGGAAAACAGGGGTTGAGACACTTTGGAAACTGTGAAGTCTCTCTGCCCTTGATAGAGGATTTTGATTCACCAGTGCTTCCAGCAGGCAGAGCAAAGTGGCTTAAAGACCACAGGTAGAAGTGGAGAGCTCCATGCTGAGTGCGTCTTTGAGGTTTGTGGTCATGAACTGAAAGTACAAACAGTGGGTCCAGTTGAGTTTTGTTTTGTTTTTTTCCTGTAATGTTCAGTGCTCAGGTGCAGTTGTGGCCAGCATTTGGGTTCATTCAGGGTTGAGAATTAGCCAAACAAGTTAAGGAGAGAAGGAGAGAGATGGAGGCAGACAAATGTTTTGAGGATCTTTGGGGAAAAAGAGTGAGGTCATAGACTGTGCTCTAAGTTAGAAAGAGAAAAAAAGCAAAAAACAAGGGAGTTTTTTTGTTTGTTTGTTTGTTTGGGGTGTGTGTGTGTGTGTGTGTGTGTGTGTGTGTAGCCCAGGATGGCCTTAAATTCATAATCCTCCTGTCTCAGCCTCTCGGTGCTGAGATTATAGGCATGTGCTACCACACCAATGGAATTGATTTTAAGTGGTACACCTAACAGCTTGTTGAGGTTGGAGAATTGTGTGGAATGGACACTAAAGCAAGTGAGCTGGAAGATAGGAAATGGTGGTCAGGGTGGGTGGCTTGAAACAGAGAATTCAAGTGTGGTGTGGTTATGGGTGGTGAGACTGTCTGGTGGGAACAGGAGAGGCCGGCCACAAGGAGGGAGGAGAGGAAGTCAAGAAAGTGTCAGGCTGCCTAGGTACTGGGTATCACAGGGGTTGCCCACAGGAGTAATTAGGGCTCCAGAAGGGTGAAGAAAAAGGCTGTGAGGCATGTGGGAAATGACTGATGAATGGATCTGCAGGTAACAGCAATAAAGGGGAATAACAAGTGGGATAGATGGGTGGCACTGACCTTAAAAGGGATATGGATAGGGGAAGAAAAAGAAGGCCAAGAATCAGCAATGGGAAACAAGAAGAATGTGCTGAACCTGCTGGCTCTGAAATCCTTGGAATGTGGGAGAAAAGATACCTTCCCTTGAGAGGGTGAAGGAAGGTGAGTTCTCAGAAGAGAGCCAGGTCCAGGGAAGGCCAGAAGGTGGAGAAGAGCCAAGCAGCATCCCAAACTGTCCTGATCCAAACTCACTGTCTCCTCCCCAGACCTGCTCTGGCATAACCAGTGATTTCCAATCAGTTGGGTCACAAACAGGAGAAAAGAAGAGTCACGCTCCCCATATGATGATCACTGAGACCCAAATGTTTCCATGGATGCTCCTGAATGCAAGCATAGGTGACAGCCACAACCTCCTGAAGGGTCCCCTGGCTACTGGTCTTGGCCCACCCTCCTATCCTCTGCAGCCACAACAAAACATTCAAACTGCAAGTCTGTGACTGTCCCACTCCTACTTAAAACCCTTCAGCAACCTCCCACTGTTTTAGGATGAGGTCCAAGCTCCCCATTAAGGTTTAATTGCCCTTCATCAGCTAGTGTCCAGGACTCTCCAATATCAACTCGACTCCTCCCTGTCTCTCTTCCCAACACTGTTCCTGACGAACTTTATGTGTTTACATCCTTCAAAAGGTTGCCTTGCATTTGCCATTCCAATGGCCTGGAACACTCTTCTGCTAAATGCATATAGCAAATTCCTACAACTTCATCTTTCTCAGCCTTGAAGAAAATAAATTCTTCCTTTCCCAATCACAAAATTAACCTCACCCATTTGCTACTTCCACCATCTCATGCATTACATTTCTTATCCTAGCTTTATTGTGCAGCATTTCCATAGGTTTTTTGTGTTTTATTCCCTCTCCATTGTCTATACACTTGTGATGGCAGGACTCTACTTCGAGTCTGTGTTCTCAGCATTTAATATACTGTAATGATGCTACACAGTAGGCACTCAACAAATATCATGTGAATAAGTCAAACCTATAAAGTTAATAACAGCATCATCTCTCAAGATTAGAATAGACCTATGCCTATTAAATGCAGGTTTGTGTACCTGGCAGAGTGTGGTACAGGGTGGTGTGTCAAAGTGTTCTCTTTTTTATTTTTATTTTTTTAGGTAATGGGGATTGGACCTAGAGCTTTTACACTGGTCTCCAACACCATCCAGGTTTTTTTTTTCTTTTACTTTTTTCGTTTAAAACAAGGTCTCTAAATCACTAAGTTGCCCGGGATGGGCTGGTCCTCCTGCCTCAGCCTCCTGAGTGCTAACATTATAGACATGCACCACCACACCCAGGGAAAATGCTTGTGTTAGAA